TCTCGGTGCGGTTGTTTGGTGCGCACCCGAGTGCGATTGCTGTATACACATCTGCCCAAAAGATCCGCACCAAGAGGTGAAACGAACTTGAGTTTGATTCAATCGAACCAAACAAGACAGGTGTGAATACACCCATGACTTAAGGCTATTAAAGGAAGGTAACTGACATTAAATGCATCATGAAATGTTCCTTTTATTATATTATTTGATAAAAATATAATAAAATGTGACCATCAATAAGTGTGAAATGTATTTATTTATTTATGTGAAATAATATACTTTTCAGGAAAATAAACTTCACTTAACTGTTGGCTTATAGGCAAAAAAAATCACAATACAATGTTGACTTTGTATAATCAAGTTAATTTTTATCAATTTGATTATTTACTTATGTGAAATAAAACACATATTGTAATGTAATATAGTATACTAAATTATATATAATTTGAAATAATTAAATACATGTTGAAGTGTTCCTATCATGAAATAAAAATACAATAAATTGTGACCAGAAACAAGGTGTGACATTAACATTTTATTCAAATTTATTTGTGAAGTAAAATACACCTTGAAATGTAATATAATAGATTAAATTAAATATATGACAATTAAGTCAAATAATAATTGAAAACATGCTAATGTGTTCCTATCGTTAATTTCACACCTTATTTATGTCACATTTTATTTTATTTTATTTAAATAAATAAATAAAAACTAATTTTCCATTTTCATTTTATTTATGTGAAATAAAATATACCTAATGTAATAAAAATAAAAATATAATAAAGTGTGACTATAAATGTGTGAAATTGATTACTTTTAATTACAATGAAGTTAAAATGTATTTGTTAAACAAAATACACCTAATTAAATACAGTTGACTAAATTAAATACATTGTGGCGTGTTCTTACCATTAAATAAAAAATACTATAAAATGTGACTAAAGGTGTGAAATTAATTTAATTGAATTAAAATAGAATTGAACATTTATTTCTGTCAAATAAAAATCACCTCCCATTGTATTATAGTATATATGAAATATAGACTTAAAAATCAGTGATGAAATGAATGCATTGTGAAGCATTGCGACTGATACATAAAAATGAGAAATAAGAAATAAACCCTAATACCATCAAACCTCACAATAATTTACAATTCACACACAATAATTTCTAATTCAGTGATTATGTGAAACTTTGTTAGTAAAATCATTGCCAGCAGTACTGTGCTAACTGTGTGTCTGTGTCTGTGTCTGTGTGTGTGTGTGTGTGTGTGTGTGCGTGTAATCGTGTTATCTCTGTGTGTGTGTGTGTGTGTGTGTGTGTGTGTGTGTGTGTGTGTGTGTGTCATCAGGAGGAGCTGCTGAAGAGTGAGATCAGTCGTCTGAAGACTCGTCTGTCTCAGCAGGAGCGGATGTTGAGCAGAGCCGTCAAACACCTCAGATCCACCAACCAGCTCAAAGAGGGCATGGAGCGCGTCATCATCGACCAGCGTAAGAGAGCAACACACACACTCACACTCATGCAGAGTCAACCAACACTGATGTGTGTGTCGTGTTTCTGCAGTGTCTCTGACTCACGGCGTGCTGATGAGAGCCAGAGGAAACCTGGAGGTGCGTTTACCTTTGTGTTCTTTTACATGAGAGCAAACCAAACTCTGTTCATCCTGGGGGAAATGTATCGAGGCTTCCACAGAAATATGAAGCAGCACAACTGTTTTCTTGGGCAGCAAATCAGCATATTAGAATGATTTCTGAAGGATCATGTGACACTGAAGACTGGAGTAATGATGCTGAAAATTCAGCTGCGCATCACAGGAATAAAGTATTTACAATATATTCAAATTAAAAACACCTATTTTAAATTACAATAATATTTCACAGTTTTACTGTTTTTACTGTATTTTGATCAAATAAATGCAGACTTGGTGAGCAGAGGAGACTTCTTTCAAAAATATTTTTAAAAAAGTTGCACATGATGGTCACAAGGAGGATGTGATGCAACTGAATGACATAGAATAAAAAAATAAAATGCTTCCTAACAAGTTTTTTGGACCCCAAGTATTCAAGCAGAGTTTTGATGGTAATGTTTGTCATTGTGCAATAAACCTTTTTTTGGGGGAATGTCGGAATTAGTTTATTATTTAATATACACTATAAAATAAATATAGTTTATTTAATAATTTAAAATAAAAAATAATCATTCAAAAAGTTAATTGCATTTCGGTTCAATTGATTTACTTATTTAAAATTAAATAAACCTTGCAATGTTATATAGTAGACTTTTAAGTATATGAAATAAATGGTAATAATAAATTGTGATGCAACTGAATGACATAAAAAAATTAAATACTTGCAAACATATTTTTGGACCCAAAGTATTCAAGGAGAGTTTGATGGTGAATCCTGTGATAAACTCTTTTTTGGATGTCAGAATTAATTTATTGCCATATAAAAAAAGCAATCACACGACAATACTGTGGACTTAGTATGACATTTATTTTCTAACATTTAAAAAAAAAAAAATGTTTCGTCCTTTTTTTGGTTTGTTTTTTTGGCTACAACAAAGTACCTCTAAAATATTTTTTTCATGTTCTGTTGTCCTGAATGTTTCTTTGTAAAGGACATTTATCTGTAGATATTTTAATTTTGTAAAAAATAAATTCTCTTTCCTGTCTTCATGATATTAATGCTCTGTCTTTCAGTCTAACTATCTGAATGTTTTTGGGCTGAAGGCTCTGCAGGTGGAAGGTTAGTTTAATGAACGCTCGTGTGTTTGTGTGCTTTCAGAAGCAGAGCTGTTTCTTTGCATGATGATCGCTGCATGTTCACTGCTGTCTTTCCTTTATTTTTACATTTGTTTTGCTTGCAGTTGTTTAAACCCCAGTGGCCCGTATGAAGAGTTTTACTCCATGTCTCTGCTGTGTTTGTCTGAAGGGGTTTTATTTCAGGCTTGAGATGCTCTGCATGGATTTGCTTGATCATTTGGCTCCCAACACATCTTGATAGTTTTAGCCGATTGTGTTTCTGCAGGACATCCCACTGAATGGCCAGTGACCAATCAGCAGTCGGGGGGCGTGGCCTGTCAGCAGCATTCAGGCAGAGGCTCAGCCTGCAGTGAAAACTCCTCCCACTGCAGCTGTTAGAAACTTCACTGACTCCAGATCAGGACTGTTGATTCCTTACATCATGGTTTTCTCTTTTAATTTGCATTCTTAATTTATTACTCTTTGAGGTACGCTGATACCGTTCAGAATTATTTGCACATATACAGTGAGCATTTAACCGTGTAAAAGGGAATGTTTTTTAATAGCGGAAGAGATTTTCTCCTGTAAATACTTTGAGCTTTAGTTTTATACTAGTTTTAGACAGTCTCATGTTCACTGCCGGTCTCCTGTGATGCTGTATTATCCTGCTTAAGATCTAATATTTTGATGTAAATGAATGGTACATGTACATTTAATGAGCGCATGGTTTAATGTAGCAGACTGTGTTTAAAGTAAATGTTTAAACCCTCATAGAACAGTCTCTCTGCTTTCATGGTAAACCGGTTTGAATTATACTGGACTAATCAGCATTAGATTTTATACAACTACTCAACTGTTACAGCAAGACTTAAGACTTCAGTTAGGTTTTAATAGATATTTATATTGGCAAAATGAGTTGTGAAACTTTAAAAATCTTATTTTAGCAAGGTTTCTTATTCACTCGTTTTATTAGTAAGCCTATTAAATTTGTCTATGAAAACATTTTTATTGGACATTTTAATGGAATAAACAAATCAAGGCTGAATGTGAATGATCCATTTCTACAATGACATCTATAATATCACAGCACTAAATCTACTGTATAATAAATTACACATTTAACCAAAACAAAACAACTTAGTGTTGTCATGCAACATATCTATAGAATATAAAAGACATTAGCCAGCCTCATGAATGCAATTTTTTTTTTAAACAATTAGGTTTGTATACATTTATAAATGAGTCAAAGACGAAAAAGGGTTTACGCATAAAAACAAGTATAATACTGCTTTAAATTGTTTTTGTTTTTCAGAGCAAAAAAATAAATATACATTTTTCCGATTTATAGAAGACACCCACTAAAATGTCATTGTGTAACAATCTTGTCTGGCATATTTACAACAAAAATCATTTTATGACATTAAAAGACTTTCACCCCAAATACTACGTTGTAATTTTACTTTTTTTTTTAATTTGCCACTCTCCTAGGTTTTGCCCATTTGTCAGTAAGAATTTTTTACTCATTTAAAACACAATTTAATATGCTCCCTTTTATATATTTTAATATGTACACGTCAGAATAAGCATGTTGTTTGAATTTTTACATAAATGTTGCACTGAATTAAATTTAGCATTATTTGAACCAAATTTTGACATTTTATTCTCCAAAAACTTATTTTAAACCTTAAAAGTAGACACTTTACTTACATTTAATGTGCTTATTTTTGTACATTTCTTTTGATGTGGACATCTTAACGTCTTTGACCCAAATACACTATTGCTTACTATTGTGCATGTTTGTTTTGTAACGTTGATACATTTTGAAACATTAAAATGTATTTGTAGATGTTAATGTAGAACGTCAGAACATATTAATGTAGATTAAAGTTTTGTTTATTGTTAGGTATATAATTAATGCTAATGCATGACTTTAAGCAGAGAACCTTAGCATTTAAAATAATATAATTAAGCACATCAGCACATTTAAAATAATTTTAGTGACATTAACGTTTTTTTTATGTATATATATATATAAAAAATCTTCAGAAAAAAAAATAAGGTTTTATGCGTTAAAAAATAAAAGAATAGAAATTAGAGAACAGAACTAATAAATATTTTGTTTTTGTTTTCCAACAGTTAATATAAAAATTTAAATGTCACAAAAAAATCATTGCAATTCTAAAAATGAAATGTTACCGATATTTCATTATTTTCTAGCACAAGTGTTAGAGTACATTCAAAAAGTTGCACCGTGTTCAGCTTTACTCCCTTTCAGTTTATTATGGTTATAAGACAAATATATGGCAACTGGGACAGAAAGGTTTCATACAAAACAGCTATGGCATACAATCATGACAGACATCTGTAACGTTTTAATTATATACATGTAACTACAAAAACATTTAAATGTTTTGACAGTTTTTATCAGCTGCTGTAGGACCGTCTGTATTTTTATGAGGAAAAAAAGGTAAATGCTTTTAAATAGAAAAGGCCCTGTGTGCAGTCCAGGACCCGCGATGAGCTTTGGCACCAAACGGCTCACCGAAGTCGAAGCCAGAATCACTGAAACGGATTCACTCTGCTGGAGTTTCCCTTTGAGTGCGATTCAGATCTCTGAATCATCGTTTAATACGGAGCTCTGATCAGAGCGGGATGTGTGCGTCTAGCGCTGGACGTGCCGGACGAAGGCTTGGACCAGTTGAATGAAGGGCTCCTGGCCCTCCGGCGTGGCCTTGGATCCTGGTGTGGGTGGTTTGGTTTGCACTGAGAGAAGCAGCCCGCTGGCTGGGGAGGAAGGGGAACCTCGCCGGAAAAAACGGAATAACGTCGACAACAACGTACTCTGAAAGAAAACATTTGGGTGAATCAAGCAAATGTGTAAAAAACCTGCTTAAGGTCATATTTCACCCCAAAATCAAAAGATATACAAATATAATTTCATATTTATCATGGTGTCTTACTGAAATAAAAAAACCTACAAAAAAAGTACATAAATCAATCAATCAACCAATTAATAAAAAAGGGAATCTGTGGAACACCATCCAGAGAGGATGATTATAGTTCTGCAGTAATTATAAAAATGTTGATAATTAAACAAATAAATCTGTCAGTAAATAAAAATATAATTTATCTGGAATCTGTTGAAACAAACACTGTCCAGACAGGATGATTATAGTCTTACAGTAATAAAAAAAAGGAGGGGAAAAAAAAAATCACAAAACATCAAATAAAAAAAATTGTAAATTAAAAAAAAATAATAATAATCAAAATATTCAAATACAATAAAGAATGTGGAAAAAAAACAGTGCACACAGGATGATTTAGGTCTTACAAGTAATGAAAATAAGTCACAAAACTTAAAATATGTAGATAATTAAATGGATAAATAAAAAATTTGATTTGAGGTCAAATAATTAATTTCATGATTGGCAATAAAGTTGATTTATTGAAATAATTGAATATATCTTAAGCCCAATGAAGGACTCACCAGCTCTGAGCTGAGCTCCTGTTTGAGTCTCTGTTTGTCTCGGGGCAAAACTGAAGGATCCTTCAGACAGCGAACAGCCTGAGAGATCAACACATAGAAGCAGTTCTCCATCGAGAACATCAACAAAGACCTGAAACCACAGAGAAAGAGCATGAGACGACCTCGAGCTCAAACCCACACCGCACTGTAAACATCACAGGAGCGTTTCTGCTCACTTCAGTGCTTGAGTGTCCTCAGAGACCACCACCGGCTCCTTCCTCTTCTCAATCTACAAACACAACACCACAATCAGCACAGAAACAAACAACATTCACTATACCAGAAGAGCTGAAAGCGCTGCACTACCTCTCCCAGCATGCTCAGCGCCACATTAATGGTGGCCATGAGAGTCCCAAACGACGGAGCCACATCAGAGTCAAAGGCAGGAGTGGTGAAACTCAACACAAACAGCGTCCTGTACTCCGCAAGGTCCATCGACTAAACACACACAGAAAAACGCATGATTTAACGCTCCAGCCGTGAATGGCGAGTGTTTATATTGTGTGGATGTGTGTACCTGGTCCAGCAGTATCTGACAGCAATCGGGTGTGAAGTGCTGTAATGTGGCCAGAGTTTTGCTGAGGATCTTTAACAGGCTGCACTGAACCGCCTGCAGCGCTTTAGACTCCGCCTCCTCCTGCTCTTTGGAGGCGGGCTGTACGGCATGCTGGGGGTGTGGCCCGGGTGGAAGCCCCTCCCCATTCTTGGCCTGAGCAAACAGACTCGCATAATAAATCAACCACATACAGCACTGACAAACTGAAGATGGGTCAGAGCATCACGTCTCATACCTGCAGGTAATGATGCAGCATTTTCTTGCTGTGCAGGAGGTACGTACACGTCTGACACAGATAGCACAGATTCACCTGAAACACACAAACATCAACTTCTGAACCCTTTAGACAAAATCTCAGGGGAGACTTCAAGTAAATATTTTAAGTAGGGCTGTCAGGTTTAGTTATGAAAAAATGACGCAATTAAAATATTTTAACGCAGTTAACGCACTGGCCCCGCCCCCAGACCTGTACATCATCTTACATTTCATACAGCTGACTGCTGACAAATATGATGCAGGGCTACAACTCCACAAGTGCAGTTATGCCCTAAAATTCAAGATATTGGGGCAAAAGTGCTCCTGTATGAGTTTTGGTCTCATATTTATATCACATGATAAGCGATATCACACGAGCAGCGAGAGCAGTATCACACGAGTGCTGTTTATCCTGAATATAACGAGTGCAAATGTGATTTTATATAACAGTTCAGTAAATAAGAAGTTACTGTGTTAAATTTTAAACTGTTTTTGCTCAGTTTTGCCAACAAAAATATTACCTAAAAAACCGCAGCAGAACTGCAGTGCGTCTTCGAGCAACACAGCGGTGTTTAGTTTCTAAATGAATCTGTTTTGAACGAATCTGGTGAATTAATGATTCAAAGGCCCATTCATAAAGAGAGCCGTTTACTGAATTCCTGAATGAATCAGCCGTTTGAACGAATTGAATGAAAGACTCGTAAAGACATTTACCGCCACCTGCTGGCAGTTTTAGTTCCTTATTCCTTCCATTGCATGAAAGAACAAAAAAAAAAAAAAAAAAACGGAGATGTTTCTCAAATTATCTTCTTTTGTGTTCCATAGTTTATGTTGGGCTGTTGTAGCCTAAACGTTTGTGTAATAAATTTTATGTTGAATCAAATAAAATTAAAATGTAATTTGCGATTAATTAGATTAATTAATCAACACATCATGTAATTAATTAGATTAAATATTTTAATCGACTGACAGCCCTAATTATAAGTCAATATTCTAATTCATTCATAGTTCATAGTATTTTATATATACACTAACACTACAAGTTACAATACAAATACTTGTCTTAAATTATTAACTTTTGAAATAATTGTAGAGGAAAGAAGCAGAAGTGCTGGAGTGTACCTGGACGTCTCTCAGCAGCTGCGGCAGGTGGAAGTGCCACTCTTTGCAGAAGTTTGAGAGCTGGAGCAGGAAGCCCACCGTGTGATCGGCCTCATCCAGACACGCCAGAGACTGAACCGTCCTCACCGCGTTCAGACACTACATACAACACACAACATCCTCAGTGAGCCGTCATACGCTCACCAGAAAAGAACGGAAAAACTGGAACAATGTCAACAACTTCATCAAAGCAAACTGAAAGAAAATGAGAAAGATGGAATGGAAAGATATATTCTGAGTGAATGTCATGAAAACAAAAAAAATGTAGGTTATCTCTCACCTCAAAATCAAAAGAATATATATTTTGCATATAAAATTAAGCCTAACTGTAGGACCTAGGGCTGCACAATTATTCGAATTTCTAATCGCGATTACAATTACGGATGCCACAATTACGTAATCGTTCAAAGCGGCAATTAATCGTTCATGTTATTCGGCGTGCTTAAGATGCGTTTTTTTCTTTCTACATGTTATCTTAAGGGTTTTTCCATTGTTTTAATTTTAGTTTTAGTTTAACATTATAATACCATTCATATTTTAACTTTTTTATATAATTTAAAGAAACCAATCCGATGTATATTTGACATTTGAGGCTTAATACTATAGATAAGCACTAAAGGTTTTTCAGTTAGAGTGTTTTCAGCTTGTTTATTTTCATATAAAAATACGGCATGCAGTTGCATCAAACAATGGTATAAACATCATTCAATGTAAATTGCGATAATCGTAATTAATAATCGCAATTACAATTTCAAGGGAATAATCGACAATTATGATTTTTGTCATAATCGTGCAGCCCTAGTAGGACCTTTATCATTTTTTTTCCAATGACAATTATAATTAAGTATATTAAAAGTATTTAAATTATAGCACTTCTTGTAATGCTTTTAAATTATGCTCATAAAATCCACTGCAACCAGACAGGATCGTTACTATATTAAAAATGAAAATCATTATTAAGGATGAGAACTACAAAAAAAAAAAAAAAAGTAAAATATATAGAAAAATAAAAAATAAAGTTCAACTGGCTGAATTACAACAGACATTTAGGAAATGAAAGAAAATAAATAAATACATTTCTATATATAATCAACATAAACATAGGCATAAAAACACACCTGCAGAATGCGCTCCTGGTGCACGCCAACAAAGTCGAGCGCTTCATTAATGAAGTTGTAACGGAGAGTTTTCAGCAGACTTTCCATCAGAGACAGACTCAGTCTGTACACACCCATCCAGCTGGGGGCGTCCTGAGACTTCCGCATAAATGCCTGACAGAGATAACAGCAGCGCTCATACAGGGTTGTGGCTACAAGGGATACAGCTAAAACTGGAAGCTAACAATAAATGTAATTTTCTACTTATTAGATTGTGTTTTATTAATGTCTACACCTACCCCTCACAACAGTGGTTCTCAACCCGCGGCCCGTCACGAATTCAAATGCGGCCCACCATGCTGAACACAATAAAAAAAAATTACTTTCAGTTTTACATTTACATTTTAGTTTTTACATTAATTTAAAAATGTACTAAACAAATATAAGCTATAATGTTTTTGTTATGTAAAATAATTTTGTTTTTCATATGCTATTTTCAGACATGAGCAGACTTGCACTCGCGTAATTAACGTTACACATTTAACAAACACTTACAAGCGTGCACTTTGGCAGAATTCAATTCAAATAGTCATCAGCAGTCATTAGTTTGGTAAAATTGAGCATCAGAATGGACAAATTTGTTATTAAGGGAGAAAAACGGAATGTGGAAAATGCCAGCGAAGGAACGCATACAAACAAGAACAGTCGCAGTATCAGCAGTGAAGGTAGCAGAGTGCTGGACTTTCGGTTTGCCCCGCCACTCACTTGAAGATGTTTAGGCAAAAGGAAACACCCATACTACGCAGCAATCATCCTTAATTGCAGAAATGTGGAAACATCTCTGGAGAGAACCTCAGATTATTCAATTCGAAAGTGCTTTCCATATTTGGATCAACGTAGGTTACATTTGTGAACGCACATTTTCTGCAATGTCACGCGTCAAGTCTTACGGACTGCAACTTACAATCACAACTTCATTGTGCTGTTACTCCTTTCGAGCCGAATTTCACAAAATTGGTCAGCTCCCGACAGCATCAGGTGTTTTATTAATGGGGAGTAGAATTATATATTTATTTATTTAAATGAATGTAATCGATTAGATATCATAATATTTAGGCTATAATATTATAAATCTGGTTGGTTTGTATTGGTGACATAATATGTAAATGATATGCGTGCGGCCCGTGAGACTTGCACTTGGACCATAGTGCGGCCCAGCGGAAAAAAAGGTTGAGAACCACTGCCTTACAATAATGCAAAAACAGTAATTATTGTTGTACAGTGTGACAAAAATGACGCTACATTGACGTGCGCATGCCCAGTAGACGAAACTGTATACCATCTATAGCCTTAACAGTCATACAGAGTCTCTGAACCTCCTCGGGAAAAAAAATTAATAAATTAGGATGTTGTAGTTGTAAAGCAGTACCTGCGTGGCTCCGTTAGCTGGACCCTCATACACACTGAGGAGAGGAAGACAGATGCTCTGAATCACTCCAGCACCTGCCACTGCTGCTGCCCCCTACAGGAACATGACAAACTTTCATTTTAGCCAATCACTTTGTTCATATATCTTTGAGTAGTTTATTTCATTTTTGAGTCACGACTTGATGTTAAAGTCCTAGTGTGTGGTACTTGTTCATTTTTGAAGTGAAATACATATTTAATGTTGTTTATGATTTTAACATGTCACCCATATCACAGTCAAATCTCTTCCAAGTTTCACATACACTTTGCATTAAAATCAGTGGTTCATAACCTTTTTGACTCGATTCATATGGATTTGTTTTGCAAGGCCTTTATATTCTGCTAAGTTTGGCTACCTGGACTTTCAATGAAGGGACAGAAACCTCCCAGGTTTCATAAAAATATTTTCATATTTTCAAGTCTTATAGATTTAGAAAGACATGAGGAAGAGTAAATAATGACAATTTCCATTTTTAGGTGAACAAGGCCTTTTAGGATAAGAATTTTGTAACATTTTTTTCTCACAGTTCAGTTACTACTTGAAAATTGAAAAAAAAAAAAAAAAAGTCATAAAATATATAACTATCAATAGAGTTTTGATCAATTTATATGACTTTTCCATGTCTAGAAATCACACTTTTATAATTATACTACCTTACATATCCAAGATTTCTATATCCTGGTGAATATTGTTGGCTTTTGTTCCTCTTTTGTAAACTGCTTTGGATAAATGTTTCTAAAGCTGCTGCGTGTACCTGCGGTGTTCTTGCGAGTGTGAGCAGCAGATGAAGCGCTGCCTCAGTGAAGTAAAGGTTCTGTTTGGATCGCAGACTGAGTTCTAGAGCGCTCAGAACCGACGGCAGAACTGGCAGCTTCCGGACCACCTGCAGCCACTGTTCACCATCCTCGTCAGCCCGACACAACTCTTTAGAGAGATGAAGAGCTAACACACACACCTGAGACAGAGAGAGATATACTGGTTATGATCTAAATGGAATAACTGCATACTGTATATACTGCACAATATACTGCCTATAAAATGTATGCGAATAGCATGCATTATATACTCAAGACTTTAAACAGTAACGTTATGGAAACTCGTTTCCGCCACAAAAAAAAAAAAAAAAAAAATTTCTCTCAATTTAGTTTTGTT